CAATATTTTTAAACAACACTGTCTCTAAACAGAAAAACCGAGAACTCATTACCGGTGATTTATAACTCGTATAACTCAGAGAGCGGCAACAACTCAATAGCGCAACTCAACACAGTGTTACCCAGGCCTAGATCGGGCGAACTAATTTAGCATCGGTCTATCGGTCTAGAGAATTATTCAAAGCTTCCAGTAGCAACAGCAAGTTCAAAAATCAGATTTTCATAAAATGAAGCAATTTATTCGAAAATTTCCATGTTCGGAAACAAAAAATGCGTAATATTTCGGATTTAAGATTTAAATGTGGATATCTGATAAGCTAAGGAAGTTTTTGGAAATGAGCTTGGTTTGATTAGTAATTAGTTAAATGTAGTCATCCAAATTAGTATTTTTTGTAACGCTCCGTATACCTATTATTAATAATCGTAAAAATAGTCTTTGTGCCAGCAAAAACTTTGACGCAACGATTAGCCAATCGTTCAATCAAAAATCAAATCAAAACCGTTTGTAACGCAAAGATTCAATTATTTGTTTCCGTCTGGGGAATTACACAATCAGTGAAAAGGCTTCCTCGTTTTGCCAATTAACAGGCAACGTATGAAAGTCCTTTGGAGGTTTATGACTAACACAAATGAGTGGGAAAATAACGCAGCCCTTTGACTTTGCGAGGCGAAACAAAATGATCGAATTTATTCGATTAGACTACAACACGTGGATGGTTCGGGTTTTTATGCTTGTGCCAGTTGGAAATTATCGGGCCAATTTCGATATTGTCCTCCATATTTTCTAGGTGGCTTGTGCTTAATTATCAAACTGTAATTACTAACATAAGTGAGCGAAAGTAAGTGGAAATATTTCATTTCGAAATTGTTTGTGTTAGAGGAAATGTGAGAAATCGCAAATATGATTGGAGTAATGATTTACAAATTCTTCAACTTTTTTTTGCAATTTTGCGAAGAGCTTCCGGGTGAACATTTTCACTTTTAAGAAAATATTAAGAACAAAAACTGAGGACGAAAGTGAACTTTTCGGGGCGCCAAGGACCAAAAGGCTGCTGCTTGAATCTAGACATTTTTTGTTTTAAAAGTTCCTGGTAATGTCGTTATCAATTTCTGTTGAAATTTGTTCGTTTTGCAATTTAAATGTGCATATGATTGATGTTGAAACACACACGCATGAGCTTGTTGGAAACACCTAAACTTCTAAATAACCGTAAAGTTTTACCAAACACTAAAATGGTGTTAATTTCGAATGTCTTCCATGCCAGGCGGGAGCGTTTTACAACACTTATGGCACTTTCCATTGGCAATTGTCTTGAGGTTCATACGCACTTCTAATGCGCTCACTTAAGATATTATCAACTTCTTTTCCGGTTGTTTCATTCATTATTTATCGATAAAAAGCTGCACGGTTCGATAGAGCATTATTATGTACTGTTATTGCTAAACGTCTCCAGGATCCAGTTGCTTTTAGGAAGCGCTACTTCCGTCTTCAAAGCGGTAGCTGATAACTAGACAATTGTGCTGGTAAACTGACAGTTAAGATGGTCGCTGTAAAGACCAGAACACAATAGATTGTCAGGTCGTGTGTTACAACTCACGTAACACGTTCCAGATTATGTGGAAATTACCTTAACGCCGCCCGATCAGGTTAACTTTGTGGATATCTCTCTGGATTACTGCCGGTAGAAAGTTATGAAGCCATGTCAAAACTCTACACGTGCGCTATTAAACAATTAGGGTTCGGCTCAGTTAACGGTTTCAAAGATAATCTGGTTTGGAATTGCTGGATTTTCAGCTACAAAATGCTAATAAGGGTAATGGTATGTAGTTTTGCAGTGAACGTATTGCAATTGCAGTGTAAAATATTTCAATCATGCATTTGTCGTCCCGTTTGATCTCTGGTAAAGTTGCTCAAATTGGAAAGGCGGTTCGGTGAGCAAGACCCATAAATTCAATGGGTATTTTTTAATTGAATATCATTGTCTTCGGGACGCTCCGCTTGCTAAATTTAATGGACCTGCCCGTGGATACTGGTTATGGTCGTTTTTATTGTCTTTAATAAAACTTCTTTTATGTTCCTAACATTTTATAGCCGGATAAAGTTACACAATATTTTTAAATGTCCTTTTCAATCTCTTGTTTCTGGCTCGGATTCATACGGTCTGATAAATGGGGATAAGTTGGTTTTGATTGACTTTCCTGGAAAATTAGAACAATGCTTTAAAACGATTTGATTTCGAGACACATTTGGTTAAATCTGCTATATTAAAATTAGAATTCGACAAATATTTATCATCAAGGAAAAAACCATACGACAAATATTTATCATCAAAGAAAATCATAGCATCTATTTTCATGATCGTGACATTGGTGCTTTGAGGCTATTTGACGATACTTACAAGATCTGAGGCTCAATATAACAACGATATTCTGAAGCTAGAATATCTGTGTGTTTTCCAATAAAATTCATGTAATTAAACCTTTTATATCTACATTAGTACTTTGAACTTTTTATTGAGTAAAGTATAGGAGGAATTGTTCCAAGGGACCAATACCTAACTTTGGAACGGTTTTATAAATTGAGAAAATAATATTTTCTCAAGTACGTTATGAAAAGTAAACCCGCTCATTAAAATGAAAATAAGAAAAATATATAAGTAAACATTTTCTATTAGATTATGAACCTATGAATGCTACAAGATTTTACAAAGAGCATCAAATTGTAAATAAATCATTAGTGCATCAACCAAAAAAAAATGAGTTGATTCCATCCACCAAATAAAAAGTTCTGGTAGTTTTTGCATCACGACACTCAAGAATTCACCACTTGCCCAAAACTGCCGAACTCGATTGTTTTATCAAAATATGAGTCGTACATGATAACAAATTCGCAGCGAGTATCACCAAAATCCATCGTACCATTCTCCCGATATTTCAAAAAAGATAGATTTCTTGAAGAACTTTGACCATCAATAGCAGAGGAGCCAGATATTTTTTGTTAATAAAAGTTAGGTCAGATCGTCTACTTTTAATGCAAAGAATATCGCAGTATCCTTTTGATCATGTACTTATGGCACTCTGTATATTTAAAAACAATATCAACTGGGCCACATTTTAAGTGAAAATACAACGTAACTTTCATCAGTTGGTTAAATGTTAAAATTTAACGCCCGATTCAAGTGCGTTTTTGAACGTTATCTTGTCGCAAAATCTACGTTTCCAGAACATTTTTATAAGTTATAAACCGACCAACTAGAAACCCTTTTTTCTCAAAAATTATGTTAAGGTAGCAACAGCTTTACAACAGCCTGTGTACAGCAACAGAAGTTCATATACTTCTGTTGCTGTGAAGCTACAGCAGAGTTCGTGAAAGACTATTTGTTTGGATATTTTTTTAAACCAAATGTTAATAAATGATCATTAAAAGAGAAGATGATACACAGAAGTATGTGAAAATTCTTCAATCTGTCTGAAAAGCTGTCATACTTCGATCTTCAAAACTTTTGGTCAATTGAGCTCAGCGGAAAGTGTATAAAAATTAATAACAAGCCAAATCCAACAAACAATTTTTTAACCATACACGCAATTCATATTCAAGAATGCATGTTATTTTTCTTTAAAAACAATGACCTCATTCAGCCTCACGAACCTTAAAACTCTTATGGCCCTCAAAGCCTGTGACCCTTAAAGTTTCGGTTTAGTTATTTTTTTGCCTATTCTCCCTTAAAACACATGGTTACCAACATCATGTTGAATTTTTCAAATTATTGGAGAATCATATGTAGAGAACATAGGAACCATGTTTGTTTTAAGTTCTTGCAGTTCGAAACATGATCTAAACCGAATAAACCGCTTATGAACCTGGACCGCATGCCGATATAATGTATTATAACTGTTACCAAATGTGTCTGGGCTGCAGGAGAAGTCCATTCCACTCTTCTTCGTTTCAAATTGTTGTAGATCTTCTAAAATTTTTCGAATGTTATAGTTTCCGTCAAATAGAAACTACTTTCGTATTCTAGAGACTTATCAGCATCTGTTGCTGGAAAGGAAAACGTTTTTTGCTGGGCATACACTTTGCTTTGAAAGCCAAGATGTTTGTGTCCGGAAAGCGATCAGTATTTCGCACTTATCCTAAAGCAAGCCGACTAGTCTCCGTTCCATTTCCGCCCAGCAAACAAAATTGTTTGCCCAGAGTTATTTAATTTTTTGCTTCTCGAACCGGTTCATCCGTTTCCTTTTAAAATTGTTGAATCACTATTTATTTTATAAGCTTTTTATCACTAACAGCGAATTGTTTTAACATTTGACGTGATTTATAAAAACTTTATCAGAGTTCTAATTTATCAATATAAGCTTGTCCATTAAAGACCTGAAACTACAACCGCTTCTGTTCATTAATGAAGTTTTTCCATATTTCGAAAGTTTTTTATTCCTTTTCTTTGGAGCAAGTTTTCAATAAATGTTAGTAAATACAGTTGTTTCGCATGAAATAAACGTTGAGATGAATGATGAGCTACTGGCGAAACTTTCTCTCCATGAGCCTGACGGTCATGCTCATCAATATTCGTTTCTGTCAAGCTGGGCGGGCATTGATTATGTTATGATACAATTTCTTAATCAATTATCGCCCGTTTTACGACAAATATGAATTTCTATTAAGATTAAGTGCATTAGTTGTGAATAATTTAGTCTAGACTATGCAATATTGTAGCTGTTCAGCGTTTAACTAAATGTATTGAAATTTTAACTTCCTTTGAGTTCTGATGTCCGACCAAAAGACACGTGGGACAATTTATATGGGGAAACTACGCGTCTTTCTTTTCATCGTTCATATAAAGAAAGCCCATTCATCTTGTAAACGCATTTCGTCCAATAAATTTTACGGGAACGAGGTATGCATGATATTGCGCTTGAGTTTGTTTCGAACTTCTTTGTTTCGTTGTGATACTCTTTGTTTGCCGAAGAGCTCAGACAATAATGGATTGCTTTCGTTTTCAGATGACACAGCTTGGATGGCCGGTAAGTGAGTTAATTAGTTTGAAAATTCTGTGCGATTAATCAGGAAATGAGTGGGGAACAAATGTTTTTGTTATCAGAAAGGAAAGGAGGGTGTTGTTATATTTATTGACCAATATTTTCGAGAACAATCATCGTTCTCCTTAACATTAAGTGAAGAGAAATATAAATAATGGTCGGATTTCCAGCAGGTTTTCATGAGGGATTTGATTTTTGTGTATATGCAAAGTGATAAAGTTGAAGTAGCATTTAAGGGCAGAGAAAATGATGTGTTAATTTGCCAAATTTACTTAGTTTCGGAGATTTTTAAATCAAGGACACTTTTAGAGGCCCACGATGCAGAAGAAATAAGAACAGACAGGAAAGGAAACTTAAAAAAAATACATTAAAACAGATCTTGCTGAGGAAAGTAGAGAAACAATGTTAATCTCAACGCACTTTATTGAGTAAAAGGGCGAGTGTGTTTCGATATAAACTTCGGAGCATTTTCAGGAATTAGTCAATAGCTTTTCCTCCTTTATATTATTTTGGTGATGGTCGATTTTCCGACTTTGCTTTTGTAATTTGCTTATTTATTTTGTTTAGTTTGCTTTTTTACTGTTCTCTTAATTTTATGCTCTGAGCTAGATTTATTAATAATTCTAAACAGTTTCCACATAAACAAAATAAAACAAGTGCAATTTTACCATTATTTTTTTAATAACTGGAGACTGAACAGACAAGTTGGACAAAATCAAGACAAGATGAATCATATTTGTTAGGAAACCGTTTGGCCATTTTTTATTTTTAAAATTCTAGATTCGTTTTATTTTCAATTTAATGTGTTTAGCATTTCTCTTTTTTATATCAACCTTCACACACAATTTAGAATTCCATTACCGGCAATAAAAGTTAATTTCGAAATTACGATTAGCAGTGTTAACAATAATTAAGCGGCTGAGCTTAAGCTGAGCTATAATGAAAGTAAGACCGCAAACGAAAATAATTAAGGAAACATAACTGGTGCAAAACCTTAAAAGTGCATTCAGCATTCAATTAAATAGAAGAAGGTTGCAGCTAATTAATATAAAAATTAACAGTATGCCAAATGATTAACGATGCAACACATAAATACTAAATTGTAATGATAATGCACTGAAACAGATTCTATCCCAAAAATTATTAATGTAAGTAAATACGGTTTGCTTTTGCGTTAGTACGCCTCTCATTTTAAATAGAAAGTTTGTTTATGCTTGTATATTGTTTCAATTTTAATTTTGTGTCAGTTTCAATTAGCATTGCTTCAAAACGTATTTTATCGCCTTTGACTGAAAAATCTTTAAACTTTAGTTTTTTTTTAAATTACGATCTTCTGCTTATTTCGTACTGATTAATATATTTCCACTTGCATCAATTTCAGGAGCAACTAATAAAATAAATTAATGAAATAGGTATTTTACATTGTGGAGACTTTCAAGTCAAAAATAATTCGTATATAATTTAATCGACTTGATTCTTCTTAACTTGAGTTTGGCACCGTTTCCCAAATAAGTGTGCACGTAAAAGACAGCATTTAATGTAGGTTGTTAAAAAGTTTTCAATTTATTAATAAAATTCATATATTTTTGAATATTTCAGCGAATTTCTGTATTTCATTTGAATTCATTTTTTTCACCTTTTTTACTGGGCCACTTCTTGGTTCTCAGGGAAACTTGGCTTGCAATTAAATTGAAATTGATTTGTCTGGTGTTGTGCTCTGAAGTGCTGCTGGTTTTAATTTATTTCGTTCATTTACATCTTAATTAGTTGTTATAGCTTCCCTCAGCCAACATGCGGCGCTCACTTGGAAATGGCTGAGAGAACGGGCCTGTAGCCGTTCTGGACCCCCAACACCAAAACTGAGCAATTCTGGAGAAGAGGAAGAAGCTCCTCTTCAGGGTGCCATTCAGATCAGCAACTCAATGCCCGACTTGGCTGCTCAGGAGTCCAAAATAAATTATGTTCAAGAAATCAAGGAGATCGTAACTAAAAAAGTAAGTCAGTTTTATAATTTTTCTGATATATAATAAACTGAAAAAAGAAAACAATTTGAAACGAACTGATCTACTGCTCAACAAAATCAACGTTACCCTGACAAATTTTGACGAACTTTGGAATTGGGTAAATTCTTTTTACTGTGAGCGATTCTATTTCTGTTGGAAGCGCTATTTAGTGCAGTTCTTATCCGGTTAGTGCGGGGTTTTAAAAAATATATAGTGTTTCAAACAAATTTTCTACAGGGTGTCAAATGAAACAACGCAAAATTGGTGAAAGTTCCCCTTGCTCTCAGCTGGCCAATAAGCGGGTTTTTTGCATTTCAACACGACAGGAATTAAAATAACCCTAATATCTCGAAGATGTTTTTCAAAAACTTTTTGATATTAGTGTGATAATTGTAGTCGTTTGAACTGAACTGGTTAGCAAAATCTAAGGCTCATGTTGCATCTAAAACTTCACAATGGAGTTCAGCAGAAAAATCAATATCGGGTTGCATGAATGAACGAAATATTTGAAAGTAAGCTTCATTCCAGTTTAAAAATCCTCCAGAATCACAGACTTCGGGGAAAATTCAGATTTTTTGGGTAGATCTGTATATGGAACATTCTCTATGCAGTTTTAGCTTCAACGTGAACTCAATATCGTGAAAATCTGACCAAAAGCAGAAACGTCATCGCTGCAAGACCGAAAAGTTGATTTTTTGAGACCACAAAGTAAACAAAAGAAAGCAAGCTGTTTGGTTTGTATAGAAACTTTTGGTGTTGAGATCCAAAAAACTAATTTGTGTCCAACTAGTAACACAAGAATATAACTCCGGAATTCCTCATTTTTTCATTTGCGGCACTATGGAAAATTTGTCTGTGATACTTAATTTTTACCAAAACATGGACAACCAAAAAGCAAATGAAGCAAAAGCAGAATTCATTCACTTCCAAAGTTCGGGCAAATTTGGGTGTGTAACGTTCATTTCGTTGAGCAGTTTATTTCATGAATTTTTTTCCTATCCGAAAGACCGAGTGGATTAAATAAAATCAAAAAATTTGTCAAACTCAATTCGGCCGCATTGCCCCCACATCCATCTTGTGAGTCAACAAAAGATTTGCGATTTGCGGAGATTTATGGTACCAATCATATTTGAAATACGGTTTTTCTGGTGTAAAATCTAGCGATAAAAATATTTCTACTGGTGTAGCGAATTGTGGATTTTACGCGCACTCAACATGCTAAAATGCAGCCTGCTGAATCGCTCACAACTTCAGTTTCCATAATGCATAAAATTAGCATACAGTGTATCTAATTTCACTTTGAGCGCTTATGGATTTAGCATAGTCGTACGATATTAGATAAGATTTTCGAGTTAGTTGGGACAATTTGTAGAAGCAACAGACGAAAAAATGACAAAATTGTAGCTGAATATTGACATATTTGTGCTTATTAAAAGAAGTCGGGCTTTCGTGCCAATTGGACGAAACTGGTGAGTTTTTGG